TATCACCGCTCCCTTTGAGAGAGATATAGCTGCACCAGCAGCAAATCTCCTTTTTCTTGCATTTGAATTAATTTTATAATGAATGATTTTAGAGTGTTGTGTTGTGTTGTGTTGTGTTGTGTTGTGTTGTACTGTTGTACTGTTTTATTGTTGTTAGCCGCCCTGAGCCCGGCTTCGGCTGGGGAGGGCGGGATATAAATAAAATTTATTATTATATTATTATGATTATCAAAAAATGCAATAAGGGCTTTTACACTCCCCAGAAGCTCGGCTCTGCCCTCGCCAGTCTTGGAAGGATCCTTTAAAAAAGTCCCATATGACCAGAGAATTTGCGCCTGTCCATTGGGGGATATAGTTTAGTTTAATTTAGTTTAGTCATTTAGTCATGTCCGCCTCTTCGTGACCCCCTGGACCAGAGCACGCCAGGCACTCCTGTCTTCCACTGCCTCCCGCAGTTTGGTCAAACTCATGCTGGTAGCTTCGAGAAAACTGTCCAGCCATCTCGCCCTCTGTCGTTCCAGTGAGCACTCAGGGCTGATTTCCTTAAGAATGGATAGGTTTCATCTTCTTGCAGTCCATGGGACTCTCAAGAGTCTCCTCCAGCACCATAATTCAAAAGCATCCATTCTTTGGCGATCAGCCTTCCTTATGGTCCAGCTCTCACTTCCATACATCACTACTGGGAAAACCATGGCTTTAACTATATGGACCTTTGTTGGCAAGGTGATGCCCCAAACCTAGACAGCATCTTAAAAAGCAGAGACATTGGGGGATATAGGAAGCCATTTTTCAGATGTCCCTTTTACGACGAGGCATGTAGAGACACCATTGACCCCCTGCTGGTGAGGCTTGCTGACCTCCCGGTAAAGCAAAAATTCGATCTTCTCCTGTTAGGCAAAGACCACAAGATGACCCGGATTGTCGTCGCCAGATTCTGTGCACAGATCTGTAGGCGCAGATCATCCCCCAATCCAATCTAGTTTGTTAATAAAATTCCCAAACCCGGATCCACTGGCGACATTTGGTTCATTTCTCTAAGGTAGTTTATTTTAAAGTTTTTATGTGTTTATATGCCTATCGCACTTTTAAACTTAAAATCGATTGTTGTATATTGTTTTAAATGTTTGTTTTGCAAATCAAACTCTTTGGATTCTGTGGCGAGTGGCCCTGGCGAGAGGAAGAAGTCCGTTTCGGATGCCAAGGGGACCGAGCCCTGCGTCTTTGTTACCAAAGCAATTGGACACCTGGGAATAATAATAATAAAAAGTATTTATACCCTGCCCTCCCAGGCTAGAGCCGGGCTCAGGGCAGCTAACAACAGTAAAATTACAGTAAAAACATAATAGGAAAAGGAAAACACCAATTTAAAATACAGGTTAAAATGCAGTTTAAAATGCAGCCTCATCAAAATAATAATAATAATAATAATAATAATAATAATAATAATAATAATTTATTTATACCCTGCCCATCTGGCTGGGTTTCCCCAGCCACTCTGGGCGGCTTCCAATTGAATATTAAAAACAATACAGATTCAGACATTAAAAACTTCCCTAAACAGGGCGGCCTTCATAAGAGGAGGGTAACATAAGTGCCCCAAGATGAGCAGGTAGGCCTGAGGTACCCACATCTCGCGTGACATGGGGAACGCCATTTTGAAATTGGGAGGTGCCATTTTGAAAGGGATCCCTTGCATACTGAGGGCTAGCTGCACAAGGATGCTAATTCAACTTCAAAGATGAAACTAATATATGAGATAGACTCATGACATGCCAAGCGAGCTGTGTCAAGCCTTGATTTGTTCTACAGGTGAAACTCGAAAAATTAGAATATCGCGGAAAAGTTCCTTGATTTCCACAATTCAACTTGAACGGTGAAACTGATATATGAGATAGACTCGAGACATGCAAAACGAAGTATATCAAGCCTTGATTTGTTATCGTTGCGATAACGGACAGCTTATGAAAACCCCAAATTAACCATCTCAGAAAATTAGAATATTCAAGGAAATCAGCAAAACAAGGATTGCAAATCGAGCAAGATTTGGACCTCTGAGAAGTAGAAGCAGATCTTGCTTTGCATGCCATGAGTCAATCTCATACATTAGTTTCACCTTTTAAGTTGAATTACGGAAATCAAGGAACTTTGCCACGATATTCTAATTTTTTGAGTTTCGCCTGTAGAGTGTTGGAGACCTGGGTTCGAATCTCCCCCTTTGGCCAAGAAGCTCACTGGGTGACCTCGGGGCAGTCCATGCCTCTCAACTCAGCCTACCTCACAGGGTTATTGCTGGAATTAATAGAGGAGAAAACCATGTAGGCCACCTGGAGCTTATGGGAGGCGAAAGTCGGGTATTAATGGAATCGGTACTCAAAGAAATAAAGGTGAAACATGTGTTAGGAGCAAGCCATGGCTAAATCTCGCTGGTTTCCCTAAATCTTTACGGCGGGTCTTAATCCATATTAATCCTAAAGTATTTTTAGTTTACAGAGAAGGCAAGTGAGAGGCAGAATGGAAAAAGTTTGGAAAACGACGGATTTAAAAGCTGATTGGACAAATTCATGGAGGGCTAATATCCCACAACTAATTCTCCCCTGGTCTCCTTGCTGGCCCAAATAGGACTAATTTAGCCAGCTAGCCCTGGTGATCATCTAATGTTTATTGGATGGATTTCCCCCCTAAATTGATTTTTGAATTCTGAATTTATTGCTATTCATGTTTTATACTGTATTTTATGCTGTTTTTTGTTGCATCGATTGTTTTAAATTTGTTGTTAGCCGTCCTGAGCCTGGTTTTCTGAACCGGGAAGGGTGGGGTATAAATCAAAAAAATTTATTATTATTATTATTATTGCCCTGATGGTTTTGCTCTGCTTCAGTTGTTGAAGGCAGCAATGCTAAGGTGATCAAGGGTCTGGAAACCAAACCTTATGAGGAATGGTCGAAGGAGCAATGTATGTTTATAGCCTGGAAAAGAGGAGCCTGAGAGGAGATAAGATATTGGACCCATGGAAGATGGAGCAAGCTTGTTTCTCCTGCTCTGGAGGGTAGGACTCGAACCCATGGCTTCAGGTTACAAGGAAGGAGATTCCGACTAAACCCCAGGCAGAACTTTCTGACAGTAAGAGCTGTTCAGCAGTGGAAAGGACTCCCTTTGGAGGTTGTGGAAAGGTTTCCTTCCTTGGAGGTTTCTAGGCAAAGGCTGGATGGTCGCCTGTCATGGATGCTTTAGCTGAGATTCCTGCATTGCAGGGGGTTGGACTGGATGACCCTCGGGTTCCCTTCCAAGTCTACGATTCTCTGTTTCTCGCATTGATCCTTTTCAGGTTCATCCACAGCTTTGCAGCAGAACGCTCCAGACAATTGCTGACAACCAAGCACTCCAGTTTTCCTTACTGCTTAATAAGCATCTGGCAAGGAATAATTTTGGCTATACTCTTCATTTGAGCTTTTTAAGCAAAGGTTGGATGGCCAACTATCATGTCTAATAAATGAAAATCTGCCCTTATTCCCTTATGGGGGACACAAGAGCCCTTGTAGAGCCCTTTGCAGGTTCTCCATCGGCCGGAGAAAAGAACAGAGGCAAACCAGAGAATATTGAGAAGCAAAGCAGCTTGTAAGCCTGATCTTTATTGAACTGTTGCAACAGGGTGCTCCCTTCTCACACAGGAAAGGAGGAGGATCCTGAACCAAGGTGTGCCCGCCCTTATATAGACATTTTAAATTGCCCGCCCTGGAGTTCAAGACCACCCCCAAGACACATCATACCTACACCACAGAAAGGGCAGTCTACAGCTGAAATCTGAGTGTGTTGTTTATCTCCTGTCTGGCAGGTTACTTGTTAATGCTTACTTGATTGGATACCTTGAGGAGCCTGGCCAGTCTTTTGTAATGATAAATACTTAGTTCCTGAGCCAGGTCACAGGCTCACCCTATTCATACACAGAGATACCCTTAAGACAGGATTTGTGAAGGAAAAGACAATGGGGAGCCCCACCCCACCCCCATAGAGAAAAAAATTGAAAATGGTTTCAGAGCGGTCCTCCTGTGCTGCTCCAGACATATGGTCCACACATCAATGTATGTGCTTGGATGGTACATTTACGAACATTTATTATATCTATATCTATATCTGGGGACGCGGGTGGCGCTGTGGGTTAAACCACAGAGCCTAGGGCTTGCCGATCAGAAGGTCAGTGGTTCGAATCCCCGCGACTGGGTGAGCTCCCATTGCTCAGTCCCTACTCCTGCCAACCTAGCAGTTCAAAAGCACGTCAAAGTGCAAGTAGATAAATAGGTACCGCTCCGGCGGGAAGGTAAACAGCTTTTCCGTGTGCTGCTCTGGTTCGCCAGAAGCGGCTTCGTCATGCTGGCCACATGACCCAGAAGGTGGACGCCGGCTCCCTCAGCCAGTAAAGCGAGATGAGCGCCGCAACCCCAGAGTCGGCCATGACTGGACCTAATGGTCAGGGGTCCCTTTACCTATATATCTCTATCTCTATCTATCTATCTATCTATCTATCTATCTATCTATCTAAGACCTTAAATTTTTTATTTCACATGTAAGATCTAGTAGAGATTCCTGCACTGGATTAATCTCGGGGTCCATTTCAATTTGTGCCAGTTTCTAGAAACCGCAGGAAGGGAGAGTTGCTCTTGTGATTGGACACTAGGTACTGGATGAGATGTGCGACCTGCCTAATCCAGCCGGCTTTTCCTATCTGTTCTCATTCCTGTTCTTCCCGTTTATTCCGGCTTCTGAAAGAATCTGCTTCCCTGTGATGCCCCCTGGTGGAACGCAGACACACTGACCGTCTTTCCGGATCAGATCAAAGTCTACCGTAATGTTTTACACCAGGCAGCAGTCGGACTCTTTGTCCATCTACCCCAGTATTGCCAACTCTGACCAACAGCTTCTTTCCAGGTTCTCAGGCACAGAGAGGATGTTCCTCCCAACGCCTTGTGCCTGAGATTCTTTGTACCTGGAGATGTCAGACATGTGCCTTTCTTGATAGCTCAGTCGGTAGAGCACGACAGTCTTCATCTCAGGGTTGTGGGTTCGAGCCCAAAGTTGGGCAAAGAGATTCCTGCATTGCAGGGGGTTGGACTGGATAATAATAATAATAATAAATTTTATTTATACCTTGCCCTCCCCGGCCAGAACCGGGCTCAGGGCAGCTAACACCAGTAAAATTACAGTAAAAACATAATGGGGGGGGACCCCAATTTAAAATACAGGTTAAAATGCAATTTAAAATGCAGCCTCATTTTAAAAGTCAAAACCATAAGGGGAGGGAAACATAAGGGTCAGACTGAGTCCGAACCAAAGGCCTGGTGGAACCAAAGGCCCTGCGGAAAGATGTCAAGTCCCGCAGGCGCTGGTCTCTTGTGACAGAGCGTTCCACCAGGTCGGGGCCAGTACTGAAAAGGCCCTGGCCCTAGTTGAGACCAATCTAACCTCCTTGAGGCCGGGGACCACCACAGTGTTGTTATTTGTGGACCTTAAATGGAGAGCCGGTCCCGTAGGTACAAGGGTCCTAGGCCACATAGGGCTTTAAAGGTCAAAACCAGCACCTTAAACCTGACCCTGTACTCCACCAGGAGCCAATGCAGTTGGTAGAGCAATGGATGAATGTGATCCCGCGGCAAGGACCCCATAAGGTTGACCCTTGTGGTCCCTTCCAACTCTACCGTCCTGTGATATGATAGGGGTGATATGATAGCCATGTTCAAATATATAAAAGGATGTCACATAGAGGAGGGAGAAAGGTTGTTTTCTGCTGCTCCAGAGAAGCGGACACGGAGCAATGGATCCAAACTACAAGAAAGAAGATTCCACCTAAACATTAGGAAGAACTTCCTGACAGTAAGAGCTGTTTGACAGTGGAATTTGCTGCCAAGGAGTGTGGTGGAGTCTCCTTCTTTGGAGGTCTTTAAGCAGAGGCTTGACAACCATATGTCAGGAGTGCTCTGATGGTGTTTCCTGCTTGGCAGGGGGTTGGACTCGATGGCCCTTGTGGTCTCTTCCAACTCTATGATTCTATGATTCTATGTGATTCTGTGAGGTTGAACTTGCATGCCTAGCAGGTGCTTCACCTGGCCCAGTAACGTGTGCAGGTAGGCTCGAAGGCCAGCACCCCTTGCATTTCCCAAACCTTTTAAAACCAGCCGTATCTGGAGGGCCGGATGTTCCTGTAATAAACGCAAATCTGCCCTTGTTCCCTTATGGGGGACACAAGAGCCCTTATAGAGTCCTTTGTAGGTTCTCCATCGGTCGGAGAAAATAACAGAGGCCAAGCAGAGAATATTGAGAAGCAAAGCAGCTCGTAAGCCTGATCTTTATTGAACTGTTGCAACAGGGTGCCCCCTTCACACGCAGGAGAAGGAGGACCCAGAACCCAGGTGTGTCCGCCCTTATATAGACATTTTAAATTGCCCGCCCTGGAGTCCAAGACCACCCCCAGAAACATCATACCTGCATCACTGAAAGGGCGGTCTACAACAGAAATCTGAGTGCGTTGTTTTTCTCCTGTCTGGCAGGTTACCTGTTAATGCTCACTTGACTGGATACCCTGGGGAGCCTGGCCAGTCTTTTTTAATGACAAATACTTAGTTCCTGAGCCAGGTCATAGGCTCACCCTATTCATACACAGACATACCCTTAAGACAGGATTTGTGAAGGAAAAGACAATGGGGAGGCTTTTCCATTTTCCTTTGACCTTGCAGAGAAAACATTTGGTCAGTTTGGGACATCTTATATATATTTTAAGATATAAAAGACCTTAATTTTATTTCATTTTTATTTCATTCCCCAGCCCCAATTGGGGCTGAATTGGCAGAGGATGTTGGGAGTTGCAGCGACAGTGGTAGTGTAGTGGTTAGAGTGTTGAACCAGGGTTCAAAGCCCAACTTGGGTCATGGAGCTCCCTGGGTGACCTTGAGGGCCAGTCGCTGCCTCTCAGCGTGACCCACCTCACAGGGTTATTGTGTAAATGAGGACCATCTTTCCCAACATCAGGGTCTTTTCCAGGGAGTCTTCTCTTCTCATGAGGTGGCCAAAGTATTGGAGCCTCAGCTTCAGGATTTGTCCTTCCAGTGAGCACTCAGGGCTGATTTCCTTCAGAATGGAGAGGTTTGATCTTCTTGCAGTCCATGGGACTCTCAAGAGTCTCCTCCAGCACCATAATTCAAAAGTATCACTTCTTCAGCGATCAGCCTTCTTTATGGTCCAGCTCTCACTTCCATACATCACTAAATTTCCCCACAGGTAAAGGTAAAGGGACCCCTGACCATTAGGTCCAGTCGCGTCCGACTCTGGGGTTGCGGCGCTCATCTCGCTTTATTGGCCAAGGGAGCCGGCGTACAGCTTCTGGATCATGTGGCCAGAATGACTAAGCCGCTTCTGGCGAACCAGAGCAGTGCACGGAAACGCCGTTGACCTTCCTGCCAGAGTGGTACCTATTTATCTACTTGCACTTTGACGTGCTTGCGAACTGCTAGGTTGGCAGGAGCAGGGACCGAACAACGGGAGCTCACCCCGTCGCGGGGATTCGAACCGCCAACCTTCTGATCGGCAAGCCCTAGGCTCTGTGGTTTAACCCACAGTGCCACCCACGTCCCTTACAGTATTTCCCCATACAGTACTGCAAAAAACATGCATCTATAGTCTCCTTCCAACAGCTCATAGGGAAGACCATCCGCAAATATCCAGGCATTGCAGCGGGTTGGGCTCGATGACCCCTGGGGATCCCTTCCAACGCTGTGATTCTATCCATGACATTATTTTATCTACCAGCATTCAGCTGTCAGCGTTGCGAAAGGATTAATTCCCTGCCCGCCCGCTCCATTCTGCGACCTCGCGCCCGCCCGCGCCGCTTTCAAGCGGACGGCAGGCGGCGGCAGCAGCGAGAGCAAAGCCGAGACCCAGGGGGCGCATGCGCATGGCGCCTCTTGACAAGTCGACGGCAGAGGGCGGCCGCGAGAGCTGATCGGAGGCCAATGAGCGCATGCGTACTGCGGCGGCCCTGCCGGCCTCGCGGGCGCGAAGCAGCGGCGCCTCTTTCGACCCTCGGCGGACGCCGTACTGAGAGAGAAAGAGAGCGACGCGATGTTCGCCGAGCTGAACGAGCTGCTCGGAGCCTCCGTCGAGAAGCCGGAGCAGGTGAGGGGCCGCCGCCTGGAAGTCTCCGGCCTCCGTGGAGCGGCGGGCGGAGGGCTGTTGGGTTGTATGGGGGGGCTCCCAGGATGCTACGCGCATGCGCGGTTTGGGAGCGAAGCATTCTGGGATTCGTAGTCATTACCACTCTTGGCCTTCCAGGCCTTTCCCCCCTAAAGTGAAGCCTCTTTCTGGAGCCCTGGAAACTTCCAGGTGTTTTGACTTCTAATCTGTACACTGCTTTTCTATATTAGTGTGCACAAGGTGGATTATAAGATGGAGAAACAGCAAAATAAGACAGCAGTCTTCCCACACCTTATAGCAATCTGATTAAATACAAAAAAGTCATCATAAAAACAATTTTGAAATAGGTGATTTGTATCAAATAATTCCTTTGAATATAATAATACACTACAAAACCAACTCCCAGAATATCAGCAAATATTCACAATTATAATAATTACTGAAGTATAATCAAGAAAAATAATGGCAAGTCACAATGCATAAAATACCACAATACATACAAAACCGTGTAACAGGGTCAAATTAGAAACAGGGGCACGCAATATATAAAATTATTGTTTTTCATCCCTGATTTCTATTTATTCTTGTTAATATTAGTTAAATTTGTATACTGCATTGATATTAACATTATTATTACTATTATTATTATATATTTATTTGTTCTTCGACTTTTTCCCATGATAGGGACGGTGGCTTATGGATAAAAAACAGCTAGAAACACAGAGAAAAATAACCATTAAAAACAATTAAACATTGATGTAGTTAGAACTACAGTGGTACCTCGGGTTACATACGCTTCAGGTTATAGACTCTAACCCAGAAATAGTACCTCGGGTTAAGAACTTTGCTTCAGAATAGATAGATAGATATATCTTTATTGTCACTGTCCCATGCAGGACAATGAAATTGAAAAAACTACATAAAACTACATAAAAACTGCATAAAACTACCACAAAAGTACATAAAACTACATTAAAACTACATAAAACTACATAAAACATTCAAAAACCCCTAAAAACTCTAAAACCCCATTTTAAAATACACTATACTTATGCTGCGTTTAGAACCAGAATTGCATTTGCATAGAAACTGTTTCTCAGGCGGCTAGTCCTGGCCTTTATAACCCTATACCTTCTTCCAGAAGGCAGAAGCTGAAAGAGATCATTTCCGGGGTGCGCACTGTCCTGCACTATCTCTGCCACTTTCTTATGGCACCTGGAAGCGTAGATTTGATCCAAGGTGGGAAGAGTGCACCCAATTATTCTCTCTGCAGTCTTTACAACCCTGGACAGCATTGGTTTTCCCCTGACCGTGTAGCTCCCAAACCACACACACAGACCATAAGTTAATACACTCTCCACAGTACTATGGTCAGATGCCATCAACAAGTCTTTTGAGGGATTGTTTTTCCGGAGGATTCTCAGAAAATATAACCTCTGCTGTGCTCTCTTCACCAGGTCTTTGCTGTTCTCTCCCCAGGTTAGGTCGTCTCTCAACTCCATTCCCAGAAATCGAAACACCGAGACCTGTTCCACGCACTTCCCCTCAATAATAAGTGGATGATAAGGATGAGAACAGAAATTATAAGGATGAGAACAGAAATCGTGCTCCAGTGGCGTGGCAGCAGCAGGAGGCCCCATTAGCTAAAGTGGTGCTTCAGGTTAAGAACAGTTTCAGGTTAAGAACGGACCTCCAGAACGAATTAAGTACTTAACCCAAAGTACCACTGTATATATATCTACATATATACACACCCATATTTTTTTCCCTCCAAGGAGCTCAAGGTGGTATAGGCAGTTCTCTCCCCACCCTCATTTAATCTCCGACGTGACCCTGACGTGTTCATCATCCTCACATGTTCTAGCATGTCAATATTCTTTTGAAATTGGGGAGCCCAGA